ATCTTGTTTTCTGGTCCCTAGATATCAGAAGGGTTTGACCTTTATGGTCTTTCTTCCGCTTCTTCAAATCCCAGAATCATTTTTTTGAAAATCACAAAATGTATGAGATAGATGGGACCTATGGGATCCTCTGTTCACCTTTACTTCAAAGCCAGAAATGCCATTCTTTAAGTGCAAGGCTTACCCAGTCTTCAGGTTCTCACTCAAGTGTCACCTTTTAGGGACCAAGCAGAATCGAGGTACTCAATAAAGAGTTGCTGGGTGCTGGATGAATAAATGGCAGAGGCTTCTATGAACCCTGGCCCATTCTATTTTTTGTCTAAATCTTGCCACACTTGTTTTCTTTATGAATCATTCTGTCCTTTATTCTTATATTTAAAGATACTAGTTATGTCTCGTATTTCTCCTTGACCACTCTATCATCTACCCAACACACCTAAGAAGAATATATATGTATATACATATACATACATAAGAATATATACCACATATATAACACATGTATGTATATATGTATTTATGTCTACATATGTGTATATATACATATATGATATAAATTTATATATGTGAACTACTAGACATGTTTCAATTTTAGGATAAGATGTTTTGCATTTATACATCTGTTAACCTACTGGACTGTAAGTTCATTGAGGGTAAGAAGAAAAAGACCATGACATCTCCTTCTTGGAACATCAGTGCCTACGAAGGCATCTGTTTCTCAGTAAATGTTGGGTATCGATGCTGATCAATGCCGGAAAGTGCCAATGAGCACTGCTACTCCAGGACTGAGAGTCAAAGATGCCATGGTGCACTCTATCATTTTAGAAAGACCACAGACAATTAGATGGGAAAAGGAAGGCCACATCTTGCTAGGATCTTGTGTATGCTTCCAGGCAGATGAGCAGTCTTTTTCCTAGGGAAATGCGTGGCAGGCTTCACGTAAGAGGTTCCCTCAATAACCAAACACTCCATTCAAAGGTTATATTTACACAGCTCATTAGGAAAATTTTTTATACTTTTTACACTCATTAGACTCATAATCGTCCACTGAAGCTACTGTATAACAAGAGATAAACACTCCATTCTAGACGAATAATTAGGTACTGCTCAGCACTGTGCTCTTTACACATCTAATTTTAGAGCATAATTAATCCTGCTGAAGCTGCATACGATAAGTGAAATATTTATGCAGCTGTGTTAATTCATGTATTTACTCCTAGAGAGACATTCAGAATTGGTCATGGCTTTCCGGGAAGATCATCTGGAGACACCCCCTGGAGCAATGGCATTTTCTCTCCCAACTCTTTGCCTCCAGATGGCCTCAAGAGATGAAGCTGAAAAGACACACTTCCCAAACCCAACAGTCTGACCAGGAAGGCAATGAGCCAGAACAGAAAATATCTATGAGAACCTAGATGTTCTGTAAGTATATCAACAAACCCCTGGCCCATCTGGATGCTTTTACTGTTTATTTTTTATTTGATGCAAAGAAGACCTTTTCTGTTCAGCACCACAAACGTCGTTTCTATGTTACTAACTTGACTATATTATTGCCAGTGCAACACCAAAGAAGTTGTTTGATACTAGAGTAGTGCACAGGCAACTATGGTGATGATGAGAAGGAGAAGGATGAAGAGGAGGAGGAGGGTGGTGGTGGCAGCCATGATGATGGTGGTGATGATGGTGGTAATGAGGATGATGGCATTGGTCATGATGATGATGATGATAATGACTGATGGTGATGATGATGGTGATGGTGATGATGATGATAATGATGATAATGATATCAGAGGTGTGTGAACCAAACAACTCTTTATCTTAAATAGGAGCCGGGTAAAATGAGGCTGAGCCCTACTAGGCTGCATTTCCAAATGGCTTAAGGCATTCTAAGTCACAAGATGAGATAGAAGGTGGGCACAAGATATAGATCATAAAGACCTTGCCAATAAAACAGGTTGCAGTAAAGAAGCCGGCCAAAACCCACCAAAACCAGGATGGCAAAGAGAGTGACCTCTGGTCATCCCCACTGCTACACTCCCACCAGCGCCATGACAGTTTACAAATGCCATGGCAACGTCAGGAAGTTACCCTACATGGTCTAAAAAAGGGATGCATGAATAATCCACCCCTTGTTTAGCATGTCATCAAGAAATAACCATAAAAATGGGCAACCAGCAGCCCTTGGGTCTGCTCTGTCTATGGAGTAGCCATTCTTTTATTCCTTCATTTTCTTAATAAACTTGCTTTGACTTTACTCCATGGACTCGCCCTGAATTCTTTCTTGCATGAGATCCAAGAACCCTCTCTTGAGATCTACATCAGCACCCCTTTTCTGTAACAACGATGGTGATGGCTAACATTTATTGAACCACTTCTATGTTACAGGGTCTATGCTAAGCTATGCACTTGACATGTATTCTCCCATTTCATCTTCACACCAACCTTATTGGTAAATATTTCTGTATCCTTTCACAGATGAATAAACTGAGGCTAAAAAAGATCACTTCTTTCACAGAAGTATTTGTAAATGCAACAGATTTAGTTCAGATGTGCACTAAATTACTCCTTCCTAAAGGATTTACACTCTTAAGAGTTGAATTAGTCATCTTTGATAGATATCTTAGAGAATTAAATGTAACAACAGTCTTCCCTAATTGGTCCCCTTCCAGAGGAAGGTCCCTGAAGTAGAAGCTTTGCCCCTTACTAGCTAGGGGATTTGCCCTCTGAGATTGAATTTCCTCCTCTGTAAAGTGGGAATAAGCAACATTTAACCTCATAAGGTTACGAAGATTACACTGAGGAACATATGTAATGCATCCAGTATGATGATTGACATATCCAAGTCCCTAAATATGTTAGCTGTTTTATAATAGATGGTTCGAGAGTGACACCAATGGTGGGTGGGGCTAGAGTTAGAACTCACTTATTTGACAGATACCTATCACATTTAAAAGTTTCCTGCCAAATGAAATACATCTTAATATCAACCATTCATCTACACACGTATTTATTCATTCAACCCTTTATTGACCAATTACCTGTGATGTTCAGTGTTTTGTTTTAATGCTGGAAATAAGACTCCTGTTTGCTGAGTAGTTCACCCCCTGTAAGGGTGTTTATCCACCCCCGTGACAGGCAAAACATTTGGCCCCAATTCTTCAGTGTACTCTCTGTGTCCACACTTTTGCCATAAAACTTCAAAATCTGTCATATGAAAGGTAGAGTATACCCGCAATCCCTTGACCATGAACTTGGACACCTGACTTGCTTTGGACAGAAGGATATTAGCAGACATGAACATGACCAAGCAGCGGCTTGAAATGTGCCTGTGCAGCTAGGCATTCCTTTCTGTGCTTCTGCCATAGCCAGGAAAAGAGTTTCCCCAGGTAGCTGCTACCCTTTCAGCCTGAGACACAGCATAAACACGTGTGGAGCAGAGACCACACTGTTGAATCATGGGCTTGTGGCAGGAAGCAGAGGCACTATCCCCAGCCCAGGCAGAGCTTTTCCACTCAACCTGCGCTACCATGAGGAAAAGAAATGCTTATTGTTGTTCGCCTCTAAGATCTCACAGCAAAAAGCTGACCAACACAGCCACAAATCATTATTACACAACAGAGAACATGGCCAGTGATCTGAGGAAGGTACGAATGCCCTAAGGGGAATTCAAAGACTCAGATGTTCTTATTTGGGAGTTAAATATAAAACACCTTTCGCATGCTTGATGGCACTGTGAGAATCTAGGATTTAATTCTGTGAATAGAAAGCAGATAAGAAGCCAGAAGTAATTGTGCACTTCATTCAAATTCACACCAACCCTACGCACTAGCTAACCTCTGCCTATTTTGATATTGCATTTCACCGTAGTGGTAACTAGATTTTTCTCTCCCACCTCTAGCCCAGCATAGCACATTCAGTAACCATCTCTGAATATAGCCTCCACCTATTAGAATGGTGCTTCTGCCCTCTGGCCTGAGCCTTTCTATCCCCCTCATACTGAGCTCATTTTTGGTGTTAACCTGCTATCTGAGCTGACTTTGCTTTTTCCATGTCCTCAGTGTTATTAATGAAAAGGAAACCAACCTGCCATTCCAAGCCATGGCCAGTCTCTAGAGGCCATGCCAGGAAACTCTGGGCTACAGTGAGATTACCAGCTATGAAGTAGAAAGGGCAGACAGGAGGAAATGCTTCTGGTGACACAGCTGGCCCAAGTGGCTGTTTAGTTCTATAAATGCCACAGTCTCATTAGGCTGTAACAGAGATTGAATTTCCTTCATTCCTCCATGGGAGAAGAACATGAGTTACCAAGTTGGTACAACCTGACCCCACCCTGAGTCATGCCTGGTGAGTCTAGGAAAGAGTCTTTGACCTCAAAATGCATCAGGAATCCTTTCTCTGGAATGAAATTGGGACTGATTACAGCCTAGTTATATAATTTTGTACAGCAGGGTCTCTCAACCACAGCCTACCAACATGTGCAGTTGGATAATTCTGTGTTTTGTGATGTAGGGGGCTGTCCTGAACCCTGTAAGGTGTTTCCCTGCATCTTCTAGCCCTGGCCTCTACCCATGAGATCAGCAAGCAGATTCCCAGCCGTGATCACTGAATGTGTCTCCAGGCACTGCCAAATGTCACCTGGGGGACAAAATTGCCCTTTACCCTCTGAGAACCACGGCCCTAGAGATAAGGCCTATGAATTCCCACTTAAGGCACCAGGACTGCCCTGTCTCCTGTCTTTTTCTAAACCTATTTAACTCTTTCCTAAATCCCCCGAGAGAGACTGTATCCTTAGAATACTTTTGTTTGTTAAATTTAGTTATCTAGAATTGCTTTCCATTATAAGCAATCTAAAGAACCATGGTTTCATGTGACAGGAACTCAGTAAATATTTTTAGGGAGCAAACTCATCATGCAAAGATCTACTGGGAAGCCCAGGAACAAACAGAGCGAGTGCGAGGGTCTCAAGTCCCCCTAAAGAAAGGGGTCACCTGGGGTCTTACCATCACCCACAAACTGAAGCAAGGCCAGGTCGATCTGCCTCTTCCAAGGAGAGCCTTTCTGAAGGGCAATTCCATAACCGGTGGTGGCAAAGATGTACCCACTCCCGATGGTCACCAGCTTGCAGCCTTCATCCCTCCCGGCCTTGTAATTCAAGACCGCGGCATCATAGATGAAAGCATCCAGCTTCCTGAAATGACAAGAAACCAGGGGGTCAGAGGGATGGCCAGGTACCACCTCGGGGTCTGGCTCCTGAGGCCTGATCCTGAAAGCATCACACACTTTCTTTCATGCTGGTGATGATGACTCATGGCCTCTCTATCCCCTCGTCATAAAAGGATCTATTTTTAATGAGGAGATAAAAGCCAGAACCTTTTCTCTCCAACTTACAAGAGGCAGCTAAATAAAGACATGAAGGATCCATATACCCAAGTGAGTAAATAGTCGAGTTTGCTGGTTTGCTAAGTGTTTGTCCTTAACACTCCCAACAGTAGAGAACACTGGCCTATTTAGAAAGGTTTGTGTCAGAAAAAAATAAACCACTAAGGGGCAGAAGAATTTGGTGGTAGTATATGTGAAGGAGAAAGGAACTAAATAGGAATGGTATTTTTTCCTCCCAAGAGAAATATGTGTGCTGCTTATTTATCATACAGAAATTATTGCAGAATGTTTAAAAATCCAAATAATATAGAAAAGTATTAAAAATCATTAAAATTAAAACTACCTATAATTCTATAACTCAGATGCAACCTTTGTTGTTAGTGAACAGCCTTCCAAACTTTTTAATGAGTATGCACAAACACGCATACACAGAGACTGGCAAACTTTTTTCTGTAAACACAAGATAATAAATAGTTGAGGCTTTGTGAGCCATACAGTCTCTGTTGCAGCTATTAAACTCTGCTGTTCTAGGGTGTTACGGGCTGCACTGTGTCCACCCCTAACATTCATACAGAAGTAGGATGAACCCCTAATCCACTGTGGCTGGCATCCTTATAAAAAGGAGAAATCTGAACACGGACATGCATACAGGGAGAATACCATATGAAGCCTGGAGTTATGCTGCTGCAAGCCAAGAGCTACCAGAAGCCAGGAGAGAGGCCTGGAACAGATAGATCCCTCCTTGGAGCCTTCGGTGGAAGCGTGGTCCTGCACATGCCCTGATCTTGGACATCTAGCCTCCAGAGCTGCGAGACAGTCGTTTCTGTTGTTTAAGCCACTCAGGTTGCATTCCTTTGTTATGGCTGCCCTTGGAAACCAAGACATAGCGCCAAAGCAGCCATAGAGAATGTGTAAATAAACGAACTTTGCTCTGTTCCAATAAAATGTTATTTAGGAAAACAGATGGGTCCATGGGCTGTAGTTTGCCAACCCTTGTTTTAATCCTGAAAATGTGATTATGCCACACAAACTATTTCACAAATTGCTTTCTTCTCTCATTCCGTAGTGAATATATTTCCACGTCAATAAACGTAGCACTTTTAAATTTTTTGATATACTTATTTTTATTGAGGTATAATGTATGTGCAGTAAAATGCTTGATGAATTTTTACATACGTATATATCCTTGAAATCACCATGCGGTTCAAAATGTGGAATGTTATCATTTCCTTAGAAATCCTATGCATGCCCCAGAAAACAAGCATCAGGTAATCTCTCCAAGGGCACAATTATGCCTAAATATTATTATTATTATTATTCAGATGGAGTCTCACTCTGTTGCCCAGGCTGGAGTGCAATGGTACGATCTCAGCTCACTGCCACCTCCACCTCCTGGATTCAAGTGATTCTCATGCCTCAGCCTCCCAAATAACTGGGATTACAGGTGCCTGCCACCACTCCCGGCTAATTTTTATAGTTTTAGTAGAGACAGGTTTCACCATGTTGGTCAGGCTGGACTTGAACTCCTGGCCTCGAACTCCTGGCCTCAAGTATCCACCCACCTTGTCTTCCCAAAGTGCTGGGATTACAGGCCCTAATTATGATTAGATCCCTATCAGTGGTCCTGGATATTGTTTCCAAATGTTAAAGTTATTTAACGAGGCTGAAATGATCACTGTGGAATGCAGGGATGAACGTCTCAACTCTAAAATGAGTAAGAAAACTAAATTGGAGATGAGTCAATTTCATGACACTTTCTCAACCTTATTGCCTTTCTTTCTTTAACAAGAAAACATAAAACAGTGAAGCAAAAAAATAAAAATAAAAATGGCAAAGAGAGGATGTGAAATACTGCATCCTTTCAGAGACAGCTGCCGAAGGACTCCCTATGGGAACAAAACTATTTGGCAGGTTTACAGCCATGTTCTTCATTTTAATTTTTTTGTTTCTATAATGGTTTGAGGTGGCGCAAAACTGTAGGACTTGTCTCATCCATAGAAACATTCTGAAGCTTTGATCTCAAGGTGGGGGAATCAGAGACTTGGTATTAAGCTCTGAGAGTATTTAAAGGGAATCAGATCAAGCAGTAGCAGAAGAGAACTGGGCACTGATTGGCAACAGTGATGGTAACCTAGAACTGTCATTTGTAACCTAGAGCAACCTAGAGCTTGGCTTGATGACAGCAAGTCAAGAGAAACAGCCAGCAATAGTGAGACCTATAGAAATATGGGATGGAGAGTTATACAAGGACAAAAGTAATTTGTGTATCGTGAGAGTAAGGTGTGTAACAAGAACACTGGAGTAGTACATAAAAGGGACCTGAGTTCTACTCTAGGCTAGGATGATGGTGCAACTTAAGGAAAGTCACTTTCTCCTTTTGGATTTCTGGTTTCTCCTCTGTGAGAGGAGGTGGTCATTGTGGTCTTGCTGAGACACTTGTTCAGCTGTGGCATTCTAAGATTCTATGAGCCAATAGACATCTTCTGTGGCTATCCATAGGGAAATTGAAACTCTGGATAACACATGTATCCTGAGGACTTAGGGCCATGGAAGGTGTTGGTCTCTTGAAAAAGCTGAGATACTTGCAACGTCAATACTTCCCATATCCAAGTTGCCATGGAGATACAGAACCTTGGTTTTATTTAGACTTTCTAAGTCCCACCCAACACTCATCTCTCCATTCCTCAAAAAATAAACATAAACACACACACGTACACACAGGCACATTCAAACATTAAGGCCCTCTGTTGGAATTCATGGGGTGAAACCTTCTCCCATCCTGCTAAGCCACTGTGTACTGAGGTGCTGCTGGGCTGGAAATCTAACCGTGTACCTAGCAACCACATGAGAGTTGTCCAGAAGCAGTTTAAGTTGGTATTTTATGGACAGGCATAGACATCTGCCAATCAGTACCATATTTCATGACAGGTCTTTTTGAGCCGAGCAACAAACAGACATATGAGTACAAGGAATAAAGAAAGTTTTCTTTGGGAACAGAGTTTGTAAAAGCACAATGCTGAAAAGTCAGAGGCAGGACAGCTGCAAAAGATGCGGTTGACTCTGACCAATGCAATTACACATTCGCATGACTGGGGTGGGCTGGTGGTCATGCTCTCAGAGGGGTCTGGCCATGGAGGGGCACAAATGGGCCAGCCCTCCATGGCCTGACTGTCATCTTAGGGCCATGTCAGAACCAAAGTAATGACAACACAGAAAGGAAACCATAAGGCCACATGAACTGGTTTCTAGACTCTAGAAAGGTGGGGCCTACACACAATGGCTACAGATAGCTGCATGTTTAAAAACATCCTGGGGCATACACAGTCCCCTTTAAGGGAGATGGTCATTGTCTGAGACACCGTCTCACACCAGTCAGAATGGGCTATTATTAAAAAGTCAAAAAAATAACAGATGCTGGCAAGGTTATGAAGAAAGAGAAATGATTATACACTGTTGATGGGAGTGTAGATTAGTGAAACCATTGTGGAAAGCAGTGTGGCGATTCCTCAAAGACCTGTACTGGGTATATACCCGAAGGAATGTAAATCATTCTATTATAAAGACACATGCACACATATGTTCACTGCAGCACTATTCACAATAGCAAAGACACAGCATCAACCTAAATGCCCACCAGTGATAGACTGGATAAAGAAAATGTGGCACATACACACTATTGAATACTATGCAGCCATAAAAAGAACAAGATCACGTCCTTTGCAGAGACATGAATGGAGCTGCAGACCATTATCCTGAGCAAACTGATGCAGGAACAAACTATGAATTAAAATAATAGCAAATGGAATCACTAATAATCACTTTGAAAAAAAGAGATGGGCATTGTCTGCAAGGTGTTTTATAAAATACTTAGCATTTTACAGACATCATCCCACTGAGGCCTCACAACTATCCAGTAGCAAGATATGATTATTATTGTTGTTATTATTTTCCTATTCTGTCTATGAGCAGAAAAGTTTCAGAGAGGCTAAGGCAGCCTGGGACTCCATGGTGATATTTCCAGACTTTATATTATAAAACCCTCTAGGACAACACTGTCCAATAGAACTTTCTGCAATGCTGGAAATGCTTTGACACGGTCTACTATGAATGTTGAGCACTTGAAATATGGTTAGTGCAACTGAGTTGTAGATTTCATTTAATTTCATTGATTTAGATTTTAACATAGGGGATCCCACGTGCCTATGGACTATTGGCAGTGGACGGCACAGCCCTACATGTTCCGTGGCAAGCAAGGGGGAGGCTTAGGGAGCAGGACTCTGGGTCTCCCTTCTTGCTCTGACCCAAAAAGTCTACTTTTGATCTGTTTTCTATCGGAAAAAATAATTGTTCCCGTTGTTAGAAATAAATATCCCCTAAATCTCTGAGATTTGTCATCAGGGACTTTGGGCAAAGCACCTGTATTTCTGAGGCTCAGTTTTCTCTATGAAAAATGGATCCAACTTGCTGGGCATGGTGGCTCACACCTGTAGTCCCAGCACTTTGGGAGGCTGAGGTGGGTGGATCACCTGAGGTCAGGAGTTTGAGACCAGCCTGACCAACATGGAGAAACCCCGTCTTTACTAAAAATACAAAAAAAAAAAAAAATAGTTGGGCGAGGTGGCACATGCCTGTAATCCCAGCTACTCAGGAGGCTGAGGCAGGAGAATAACTTGAACCTGGGAGGCAGAGGTTGCAGTGAGCCGAGATTGCACCATTGCACTCCAGCCTGGGCAACAAGAGCAAAACTCCATCTCAAAAAAAAGAAAAATAAAAGGAAAGAAAAATAGAGCCAACATTATTTGCCCTTAA